AGCAAAGTGGGAAAGTTTGAGAAGTTCTCTTTGACTTAAATCTTGACACCTGCTTGTGTGGCAAGTACAGTCATGACGTTTTGTGCTTTTCTGACACGTGCTGCCTCCACTGTGGCTATCATCTTCACTCTGCCTTTGGAAACTCATCCTTATCTTAAGCTAAGGTCTGAAGAAAAATGAATTTCTTTTATTAATTACATAAGGACCCATTTCATACACCTACTAGCCAAAGCCCAGTAAGTGAATCAAATTATGGAGAACTGCTATATTTTGTAAAAGCATTTAAAAGTACCTTTGTGGAAAGTGTGATAGTGTCTAAAAGCTTGTTTTTGATAGCAACAAAAAGGTGATCACAATTCGCTTCTGTTTATTATAATTAAAAGATTAAAAACTCAAAATAACTGGGCTCAAGGGCTGGCTGTAACCTAGGAAAGGTGGCATCTAAAGGGGACTGGTAGTAAGTTAAATTGTTCCAGTTGGCTACAGGCAGGATTTATACATAGTGTCACCTAATTTTTCACCTTATCAAGAGGTAAGTTTTATGAAATTTGATATTTAAATTTTGGTAATACATTAAATGTTTTTAAAAGTTGGTGGCTCCAACAGTATAAGGTGGACTAGATATTAGGCTTCTGGTTTGCATTCCTCTGATGTAATTGAATTTTTGTTTCTTTGTAACAAGAGGTTTGATTTTGAGCATATAAGATCCTACGACTGACCAGTAACATTTTAAAGCATCAGTGAAAGTTCTAATTGGTTTAACTTTGGGGTAAAAAACCAAAGCCTAATTTAACAGGTTATTTTGAAGTGCCTCTGCCAAGCAGAAGACTGGCAAGAAAAAAAGGGGGGGTTCCTAGGAAGAGGTAGTAGGTTGCATAGTTTTAGGGCAGGGATTTTGCCCACAAGGAGGTAACTATACGACCTGCTGCCTTTCTTAGGGCCTTATTATTCCACGGTAACCTGTTTCCTTGCCACCCTGTTTTGGTTTAAGTGGAGTTCTTTCTGCAGGTTTTCTTAAAAGTTAAAATATTTATTACAAAGGAAACAAAGCCTGCTTTCATAATTTATAATCAGCAGCATGGTATCAACATCAATTAGTAAAAGCCAACTAATGAGGATTTAAGACTTCTGAAGTATACCTAATTGCTTATTTGTCTCACTTTGGGGTCGCTGGAAAGTTTTGGAAAGCATTAGCTTTTTGTGGGGAGAGGGGCAAGTTCTCATCTGATCTAGAGAGTGCCAGATGTTTCCCCCTGGTCTATTACACCTAAAAGAAAGACATTAGATAAAACTATTGAAATATTTGTTCCCTACACTGTATTTGTAAATATCTTGCTCAATTCCTGGGTTTGTCTTCTGATCTTAAAATTTGGCACGGTTCTCAGGGTGGTATTGCGTATTATGGAAAAGTATCATTGCATTGAGTAAGCATTATGGTATGTAACTCTGATTGTATCTGTTAAATGTGTGTAATGGCTGGACAATGGAGTTGTTATAATTTGTTAAACACCTTTTCAATAAAAATACTTTTACTTTAAAACTTGTGTTTTTAAAATCATTGTTTCATCTCCATCCTTGCAGAATTAGATGCATTCTTTTATCTGTAAGTATTTAGACTTCTATTATGATGCTTATATACTTGATTTCATTTTTTTTAACATTTAAAAGAAAATTTCATTATTTTTCTCAGTGATTTGTTGATTGTGCTGTCACTTTCAGATGCATGTTAATTAACTTGAGCCATAACCAACTCTTCCATTTTTATAAACACTTGTACACACAATTACATGTGCTGAGGATACCCTTTAATTCTCATTCTTTAATTCTCATTCTTTGAGTCTGCACATGCAGACTTATCTTGCAAAAACTTAAGTACTTAACCTGGGGTATGTGTGCCCATTAGCATCCCAGGGCAGATTCAATTTATTTCAAACTATTTTGAACAGTAATATCTTAAAGGCTCAAGGGTTGAAAAGGTGGAGCAAATTCTGTGAAGTTTTCTGTCCTGTCCCCCGCCTCAAAGAACGTTCCAGTGGAAGGTTGAGATGGGTTCTAGGCATGTTCACCTCTGACCAGTGGCAGCTTTAAATTTTCTCTATAAATTGAGATAGTTGGGTGTAGCTTCCAAGACATTTTTGTACACTGTGCAGTCCTTTAAAATCAAAGATTTTAAAATAAAAATTTTGATAAGTGGCAAAATTGCATCAATTTCATGTGCACTGAAAATGCAAGAAAATGAAATGCTATAGTAGGATTAAGGAATTTTAATTCAGATTTTGTCTAATTTATAGAAGTTCTAATTATCTCTAATCATTTTTTTTATTATTTGGACCATACTAGCCAGCTTTCATCCCCTCCCCCCACCCCCATTTCATTGAACTGGACAGGTTGTTCCTTGCTCCCTCCCATTTTGTGTTTCCTAGTTTCCCTCCCACTTGGGCTCTTACTGAGAGGGGCTTGAGGGATCCTCTGGGGAGTAGACATAATTCCTTCAGCAATGTTTGGTGGTTGAATGGCCCACCCAAAGGAAGCATCTATAATCTTGACTCCTTGGGGTTCTGAAATCTGGCTTGAAACCCATAACTTTAAACTTCAGTTTGACTTAAAAGCTATTTTTTCTCTAAATGAGAAAGTGTCAGGATGGAGTAATTTTATCAGACTATTAATATTAGAACTATAGGTTAGGCAAATTAGTGTTTCAAAGGAATGTGAAGGCTACCCAATGTTAGTATGGAAGCATGACCATTGAATGTCCTAGGTTCTTTGTAGCTATTATGCCATATCTAGTACATAGTTTACATTCTCAAGGTGACCTCTTTGTGTCAACATTACTATTAATTGGCTGTCACATCACTATATGTATACACACTATATGTATACACACACACACACTAGAGGCCCTGTGCATGAAATTCATGCATGGGTAGGGTCCCTAGGCCTGGCCGGCGATCAGGGCCAATCCAGCTGCTGGCTGGGGCCTGCCTTCGTACTGTGCCGCCCCCTGGTGGTCAGCGCATGACATAGCAAGCAATCAAACTCCCAAGAGGGACACTGCATATTAGCCTTTTATATGTGTAGATAACTGATTTCAGAGAGGGAGAGAAGCATCAATGATCAGAGAGAATCGTTGACTGGCTGCCTCCTGCAACCCAGGCATGTGCCCTGACCAGGAATTGAATCATGACCTCCTGGTTCATATAGGTCTACACTCAACCACTGAGCCACTGGCAGACCCTTTTGAAGAATTATCTTAGCAAGGCCACCTGATGACTCCTTTGTCTCAATTGGTACCATCTTCCACACACTAGCTGAAAGAAAAGCTGGGAAGTGGCTTAGGCCAGTTGCCAGGCTGAACAGAACCTCACTAGTAAGGAAAGAGAAAGGGAAGTGCACAGGTGATTACAGCAGTAGGCATTAGGAGAAAAGGCACGAAGATTTTGACAGGTTCTGTTCTACCCCTGCCATTAATTCCTGGGCAGCCTCAGTTGGGCAGGATCCTTCCCAACCCCTCTGGGTTTGGTGAGAAATTCTCAGCTGAGACAAGAGGTTCAGTCAGAAGGGTTGTATGGGACTTGACACCTTAGCAGAGAGTTGATAGGACATAATGTATATTACCTTTGGCACAGACTGGTACATAATTGGAACTAATGGAGCATTTTTTCCCTTAAATTGTTTAGAACAGATTTAGGTTTACAGCAGAAAGTACATAGTTCACATATACCCTGTGTCTAGCCCCCACCCCCAAACTTCCCCACTATGGACCACCTGATGACAGTGGTACATTTTAATAAAGTATTTTTTTATCCTTTGAAGTTCCTTCACCATTACAATTAGGCTAAGACAGCCGTGGGCAAACTACGGCCCGCGGGCCGGATCCGGCCCGTTTGAAATGAATAAAACAACAAAAATAGACCGTACCCTTTTATGTAATGATGTTTACTTTGAATTTATATTAGTTCACACAAACACTCCATCCATGCTTTTGTTCCGGCCCTCTGGTCCAGTTTAAGAACCCATTGTGGCCCTCGAGTCAAAAAGTTTGCCCACCCCTGGGCTAAGAGATTTAGCTTATTGTCCCGTGGAAGGAAGGACAACTCAGCAATGACCAAAGGACAGTTTCTTGGCTCTGAGTGCCAACGTTGACTGGAAAATTAGTGGCAGAAGCAGGTACTTAAAATTTTTTAGAATTTTGCATAAACTTGTCAAGAGCCAAACCTGGAGGACTGAAGACAGTTGCATTAGACCAGCAGAGTAGGAAGAAATGCACAGTGAGGGTTCTCTACTGAAGACTTACACCAGCAAGTAGTGATAGGGAAAGAAACCTGTAGACTTCCCTGAGTGCTGGAGACGTGGTCCCTGTGCTCTTGAGCTCTGGGATGGGCATAGTGGGACTCCCTGGGTGGGAGGGGGCTGAGCCCAGGGACAGAGGGTGTTGGATTTGGTGAGACCACAAACCTAGTGAAGCCTGTGTGCAGCATGGCACCTCAGCAGTGAGGCCTGGAGGCATGCTGTGGCTACCGACGGAGGGGTGCTGGGAAAACACTGGAAGAGTCGTCTGTCCCCCCCTCCCCTCACAAAGGACTTCCCGCTAGGGGAACCATGATTTCATTGAGGTATGGAGTCTTAGGTAAGGTACCCTGGCTCTTGGTCTAGGATAGATTGTGACCAGATCTGACCAATGAGATAAGGAGTGGTGAAGGGGGAGGGGTTTCATAAGAGGAAGGTTCAGGAGGAGAAACAGCCTTGTGCTGCATTTTGCTGCTTTGAATTTGGTTGTGTGTTGACCAGAGCTACTGCAGCCATCTTGTGACCAGAAGATGAACTACCCCACAGTGAGAGGGTGTGTCCATATAGCTTAGGGAAAGCCCCCTTGTGCTGAAGTGTGAGGGAGAAGTGAAGGTGCTGAGGCCATTGCTAGGAAGGAGCCCTGTGGTTGGGATCAGGACTAGAGAGACTGGTTCTCTGGCATATGGAGGCTGTGGTGGGACCCTGAACATGAGCACATATGTTGTGGGGACATTTCAGAAACCTGGATCTTAGAAGTCAGCCAGCAAGGACCAAGCTCAGATGATGTGTGAACCAGACACATTTCCCTGGTGCAATGTTAGCCTTTGGAAACTTAGATCACCCTCAGGGAGGAAAAGAGTAGGTGGAAAACCCTAAATTTGATAAGACTACTAAAATTGCTTAAATCAAAAGTTATCTAAAATGGATGAGATTTCAGTTTTCTGCCACTAGCAGAAATGGGGGCTCAAGATACTCAGAAATAAGAAAACGTTTTAAGTTAACATTTCTGTGCAACTGCAAATTTTGAACCTCTGCAGTTGCCCCAATCAACTTACTATTCATAAGTAGAGGGCTTCTTTGATGATTTGCAATGAAATACTGATATAGAAACATTTTTAAAGCAAACTATATAGTGGATCTATTTCTCACAGGTAATGTAGACTAATTTCTTGTAACATCTCATTTTATACACCTAGTATGTTATTCAGAGTACTTAATATCAGCCTGTTTCACACAACAGACTCTCGATAAATTTGGTGTATGTGTATACAGTTCATGCTTTTCGTGGTACCTTATTAATAGAAATTTATGCAGTTGTTTCCTTCCTTTGCCTTGCCTGGTAGAGAACCATGCAAAGTGAGAACAGGTTCCAGTGTGAATGTACTGGGTAAAGCAAAAACTGCCTACATATATATGGATCCTTTGTTTCTTAAAGTGTGCCCAGCTCTCCTCTATGCCTTCTCCCCTCCCCCCCGCCCATTAGTCTAAACCTATTGGTCATGGGTCCTGATGGGGAACTAAGTCCTTTAAATGTCTAGGTTGCATCATCATCCAGCCCACTGTTAGCTGCGTAGGAAGCCAAATACTAAATCCTGAGGTGTATTTCAACCAAGTCTGAAAGTAGAGGAGTGACCAGCAGAGGTAGGGCACTAGTCAAAATGAGAAAAGGGATGGTTGAGAGAATCTGAAAAGATACACAATATTTGAGGTCTAGCAACTTCCTAGATTGTAAATGAGAAGCCTTATGATGATTTTATAAAGCATCCCCCAATTCCAAATCCTAACATAAGTGTAGGGGGACAGTGTGGTGAATGGCAGAGCAGAACATGTTTGGATGATGGGGAAATACACTCTAGTTACTGGAAAACTCCATTGAAAAAGAATATCTGGTTAATATGTATTTTGTGATTGAGGGAATGCTGACCTAGTCCCTAAGAGAATCATGCAATATGCAATCCTTTGAACATGGCTTCTTTCACTCAGCTTTTTAAAAGTTCATATATGTTATACATATATGAATAGTTTGTTCTCTTATTGCTAAATAGTATTCTATTAGATGGATATATGACATTTTATTTATCCTTTCACTGGCTGATGGGCATCTGGATTGTTTCTAGATTTGGCTTTTGTAATTGGTATTGGTATGAACATTTGCATATACATTTTTTCTGTGGACATCTGTTTTCATGTCTCTAGGAGACATACTTGGAGTGGAATTCCTGGGTTGTACGGTATGCTGATGTTTAACCTAAGGCAGAGAATTTCAACTGCTGTGCCATGGCAGGCACACGAGTGTGCCTCAAGAATTTTTAAAACATGTAATAGCTATTTAGTTCAAAAAACCACACAGTAATTTACACAAATGGGTTTTTAAATAAGATTCTTTTCACTCAAAATAAAACTATGATCTCCATCAAATTACACAGAAATATTATCAAAATGTTTTATCAACATGACCAGCCATTACCTTCACTGCATGCCTCAGAGCGCCAGGCTGGGTTTTGGTGGTCACCTACATGGAAGGGAGATGTGAGCAGTCCCCATTTTGCAGTGTGCAGGTGGACACAGCCCTGCTTCCCTAGGATTTTGCTGCTTCAGGTATAAAATTGCAGGGGTGGCCTAGATGGCCTGTAAGATACATTTCAAATAAAAGAATATAAGTCGCTTGAGATCCCATCTTGAGGAGACACTTAGGCTGCCAAAAGAAATGGATGAAAGTCAAACCCAGGTGCTGGAAGGGAAGTTTGCGAATCCGAAGTTCAGTGGACTTTTGATAACATCTCATTTCAGGAAGTGCCACGGTACCAGGCCTGTAATGAGGAGGGTTCTTCACCCCTCCAGTAGAGGGTGCACTCTTGCAAGCAGCTCTGGTAGCCAGTTGCTTCCGCAGTGCTTTACCACTGGTTGATTTCGGGGCAGTCAACTTTGTATGAGTCATGGTATAGACACCTCTTTACTTACCCCCTTCTCTTTCAGTTGGAGCTCTGCAAGCTGGAGGCAGCACAGGCATTAGAGAGTGATAGCTGTGCTGTGGCACAGCTGTGAACACCTAGGTCTAGTGGTGTTTAAATGTATTCTTATAGATTATCTATAATAATAATAAAGGCATAATATGAAAATTGACCAAGCAGCCAAACAGCAGAATGACCATCCGGACGACCTTCTGGACAAGCATGGCTGCGCGAGGGCCGAGGCAGCCACCAGGGCTGTGAAGGCCTACTCTTGCACAAATTTTGTGCATCGGGCCTCTAGTTTTTAAATATAAAGGATCATGTCATTTGTTAATAGAGATAGCTAGCTTTACTACTTCTTTTCCAATTTTCATGACTTTTACTTCTTTTTCTTGTCTAAAAGCTCTGGCTAGAAGCCCAGTATAATGTTGAATAACAGTGGTGTTAGCAAGGTAATGCTTTCAATATTTTACGGTTTAGTATGATAACTGTAGGTATTTCATAAATGCCTTTGTCATGTTGAGGAAGTTCTATTTCTAGGTTTCTGGGTTTTTTTTTAATTATTATAAAGGATATATTTTTAAATTATTATAGAAGGGTATTATATTCAGGTATTTTGTGAAATTGTTTTCCTGCCTCAATTGAGATGATTCTGAGTTTTTCCCCCATATATGCATAACCCATGGACCCAGACAATAGGATAGTGAAGGCCTACAGTGAGGGGCAGGGGTTGGCTAGAAGAAGTTAATGGAAAAAAAGGGGACATGTGTAATACTTTCAACAATAAAGATTTAATAAAAAAAGATGTGACTTTTATCTTTTGGTGAAGATGTGAGAAAAATTATCAGTATCTAGCGCTAATAACATTTATCTCCAAAAACATTGCAAAAGTTTATAAAAAGAAAAATGCAAATTTTATTTTAAAAAGAGAGTAAAGAAGATTAAAAATAATATATACCTTGGGAGTGTGTACATCTTTAGATTTGAGAATGGCCATTTAATCAATCCCACACCATCTTAGGTGCTGTCACACTACCTGTGAACTGTCCTGGACAACAAAAGGATGGAGAACTGTTCCTTTAGGCTGGAGAAATATGTGAGACTTTTTTAAAAGATGTCCCCTTGTATCTTACCTGAAAAGGCAACATTTTTATTGTATTCCCCAAGTCAATTATGTGTGTGATAATATTTCCAATCCAGACAAATTCATTGATTAATAAAAAAGAAATGCTTCAAGGGATTCTGTTGTTTGAAACATTGATGCACTTTTCTTAGTATTAGAAAATGTAATCAATATATTTTGAGACACCATCTAAGAGTTACATCCATTGAGCATTTGGTGACCTTTATCTGAGATCAAGCATAAGTAAAAGTTAACATCAATTTCACAGAATTGTATGATATGTGTAAAACTACAGTGTAAATTAGTGTTGTACTGACATAAAGACAGACAGATTGAAATAGCCCCCAAATACACCCTTGACTCTATGGTCAAATGTTCTTCCAGAAGGTTTCCAAGACCACTGAATGGGAAAGAACAGTCTCTTCAACAAATGGCAATGGGAAAACTGGATATCCACATGCAAAAGAATGAATCTGGACCCTTATATTAAACCATATACAAAAATGAGCTCAAAATAGATTAAAAAGTGGAGGCTTGCTCAGGGTGGGAATGGCTGGGGGGGAGGGGGATTCAACTGGGGAAAAAGGAGAGATATGTAAAATTTTTTTAAAAAAAGATTAAAAATCTAATGTAAGACCTAATACAATATAACCCCTAAAAGGAAACAGGAGAAAAGCTTCATGACATTGTATTTAGCAGTGATTTCTTGAATATAACACCAAAAGCACAGGCAACAAAAGCATATACAGACAAACTAGAGGCCCGATGCACGAAATTCATGCAAGAGTAGGCCTTTCTTCCCCCGGCTGCTGGCACTGGCTTCCCTCTGGCACCCAGGACCCGGGCTTCCCTCCCTCCGGCTACCAGCAGGCACCCGGGACCCGGGTTTCCCTCACAGTCCCGGCTTCATCTGGGAGGACGGAAGGACATCAGGGAGGACATCTGGTCTAATTAGCATATTACCCTTTTATTATTATAGACTAGAGGCCCGGTGCATGAAAATTTGTGCAGTGGAGGGGGTCCCTCAGCCCGGTCTGCCCCCTCTCACAGTCCGGGAGCCCTCAGGGGATGTCCTACTGATGGCTTAGGCCCGCTCCCTGCAGGGAGGCAACTGGCCAATCAGGGGAAGGCGATGCCCCCATCATGCATCTGTTGCTGCCACGGCTGCCTGAGCCTCGGCCCTCACAGCCACTGTGGCTTGCCTGAGCCTCGGCCTGGCCCTTGTTGCCTGAGCCTTGGGCCAGCCCTGGCAGCAGCAGCCACCATTCGAGGCCTGCGTGAGCCTTGGGCAGCCGCTGCAGCTTTGTCCAGAAGACGTCTGCCCTAATTAGTATATTACCCTTTTATTAGTATAGATGAGGCCACATCAAATTGAAAAATGTCTGCACATCAAAGAAACAGTCAACAGAGTGTAAAAGCACCTATAAAATGGGAGAAAAAATATATATTTTTTATATCTGATAAGGGATTAATATCTAAAATATGTAAAGGACTCATACAAATCAACAACAACAAAAAAACAAATAAACCAACCGAAAAATAGGTAAAGGACTTGAATAGACATTGGAATAAAAAGAGGAGGCCTTGTTCACTGTGGGTGGGAATGTAAAATGATGCAACTGCTATAAAAACAGTATAAAATTTCT